TAAGAGAAGCATTTTGTCACTTTTGTAATCTACTGAATAAATGTTCACATTATGTAATCAGGTTCAATAAGATTAAGATTCTGGTTGTTCTACTAAAGAAATTCTTTAGCTCAAGAGGAAGTGACGGAGTTAGACTTTTTACTGAGAGGACTAAAAATATAAAGAAACAAACATATCAAGAAGTTTAGAGGATTCAATAGTTACTACTAATATTTATATACATAAAAAATATTTTTTCTTGTAAGATATGTGAAATTAATTTCCACCTCAACGCGGTGCGATACAGTCCCTCTACTTTATGCAAGAAAGATATAAGATTTGTGCACTCTTTTCAAATACCATGTGTGTAATTATATTATTGGGTATGTTGTTATGCGCATTGGTATACACAACTTTTTTTATAAGGTGTTAATATTTAAAGAAGTGAAGAAATGAATAAATTGCTATGGCAATATATATATATATATATTCAATAAGACATGTTACAACTTACATGACACAGTGGGGTTTATCCGGTGCGCACAAAATGTTCTCTATAGAGTGCTCACTCGAAGGGCAAAGGTTGTAGCGTCTGCGGGTTATCCTGGAGTTTCAAAAAAAAAACTTACATGACGTACACAGCTTGGAGCAAGGTATATCCATCCCTACATACATATCAACTGCTTTCAGTTTGAATTATATATACGGCTAAAATAAATTAAAATTTATGTATCATAGTTACTATTATTTTGGAAGTCAAAAAATGCTTTCTCCGACCACTATTATTTCAATTATTTTAAATTATTATTATTGTGAAAATACTAGTTGAAAATGTTGATTATTTATTCTATTATAATAGTAAAAACTTATTCGTATAAATGTGTTATAAATATTATTCTTTTTATTTTATTTTATTTTCAGTAGCGGAGATAACCCTACTTAATGCCAAACATATGTGGACTTTATTATCTTTCTTTTCTTATTCTTCCTAATTAGAAATAAGCCCTCCCAAGTTTGTGATTTATAGTATTTTCTCATGTAGTTTTAAAATGTGAAAGTCAATTTTTTTAAAAAGGAAAAATCTATCTCCAAATTAACACGGAAAATTGATTAATTCAGATTCCGCATCAAAGTAAGACACATAAATTAAAACGAAGAGAGTAATACATTAACACTTAATTAGCTGTCAGCATTACAAACTTATATGATGTTGATTGAAGAGCTACTGCATATGAAGTCAAGCAATTTAGAGAAGCATAAGATATCTCACTTGTGGAATTCTAGAAGAGAACCAAAATTTTTATTTTTTAAAAATCTTTACATAAATAGCCGATCGAATTTATTGTATATTTTTATAATCGGTATACATAGATTGTATACTAATCCTATATTGGTTATAGTATTATATATCTGACAATTATTTTTAATTTAATGTAGGTAGGTTGCTAGTATTTAAGTTAATTCTTTCTTTTTAATAAAAAAAGAAAAAAAGAAACAGAAAAAAAAAATGTGTCAAACAAGCTCCCTAAGACAGATAACATTTTTACCTGAACAAGTTATGCCAGTGAATTTTAGTTGTAACTACTGACTATATATAATATATATTATAATTTTATACTAAGCTTCCAAATTTTTGTCACAGAAAAAGAAGAAGATAATAAATTCTTTTGTTAATCCAATAATTGTTGATTAGCTGTTATTCAACCATATAGCTTATGGGAGACAATGAAAATTATTCAAAGAAAGAACAATAAAAAGAGTAGAATGGTTCAAATCCTGCCACATTTATTTTTTCGCTACTAAAAAAATATAAGAATTATCGATAGACAAATTTTATTATTAAATAACAAAATTTCGTTGCTAATTCAATTTGGCGATGGATTAACAATGGATTGTATTTTTGTTAGCCATGAGCAATTTTGTAATAGATTAGCGATGAAATTTATAGCTAATTTCGATTAAATTTCAAATTATGGTCAGGCTGAACTTCCACAAAATGCTATATATATGGTTGAATACTTTATTGTCTTAAGTTGAGGAATTAATAATTACCATCCCTAATTGTGATGGGAGAGCTAGGTTGTTTCGATTTTTAATCAGATATCTTGAGTTTAAACTTTAGAAATGAAAAAAAAACTGATAAGGAGTGATTCTCTCTTTAATTGGTTTTGCACATGCACGCAAATTCGTATTAGTCGAATTTCAAAGTAGTACAAGACTAAAGAGAGAATTAGTATATTATTAATCAGAATTTGATCTTATTCAAGATAAAAAGTGATTCCCTCTTTATTTGTTCTTATTCGACCCTAAATCAGAATTAATCAGAATTTCAAATTAATATCAGATATCAGGTGAAAAATAAAAAATTAAGGAATTAATTAAACAGGATATAGATATCATTGATGTAACCTTTCAACCAATTGAACTCTTTATATAGTCCTCAAACTCTTTTCATTTTTCACCTCCACAAACACTTCAAATTATTGAACCAAAAGAAAAAGGAAAAACACATACAAGTTTTCTTACATATTTTTTTAAAAACTATTTTCTATAATGGGAATTTCAAGTCTTTTGAGGATTTATTTATTTGCATTTGCCTTGGATATTTTGATTAATATTGTTAATGGGCAGCCTTTAGTTCCAGCATTATTTATTTTTGGAGATTCAGTTGTTGATGCAGGAAATAATAATTATCTTAAAACAATTGTCAAGGCAAATTTTCCTCCTTATGGAAGAGATTTTCCTAAACAAATACCAACTGGAAGATTTTGCAATGGAAAACTTGCCTCAGATTTCACAGGTTTTTTCGATTTAAATTATATATGTCGACAATTTAATTTTATAAGATGTATACCATATATAGTTTAATATGTTGTATGGTAGCATATTAGTTGTCATATTTGTTTAACTATGGAGTAATACTTGGGAATAATTTCAAGACTTCTTTTTCAGGGTTTGCTTCGTAAATACTAACTTTTACTATGATTTACAAATTTTACGCTTACCTGTCATATTTTAATAATAATAATAATAATGTTTGCTTATTATTAATGTAAAAAATCAACTAATCTCCTCTTACTAATATACTCTTTTCTAATTTTATAAACATCTATTTTATTTTATTTTTTGTTTTGTTTTGTTTTGTACACTAAAGTGTTAAAATAACAAAAAGGGGTGGAAATATCAAAGAATATTCAACCCTCTTGTCAATTTGGCAAAGAAACCATTGCTACTAGGTATTAAAACACAAAATCTAGAGACGGATCAATTTTATAGCTCTACAATAAAATTCATAGGTAATTCCATGGAGCGATGAATTAAGAACAATTTATTCAAAAATTATATTAGCTACGAGATTTTTAACGATATATTCACTATGAATTTTGTATAATCGATCTTATATTATACAAAGTTAAAACTTAAATCACTTAAAAGCAAATGTAATGCAACAAGCCAATAATCATTAAGTATAGGTTTCGAGTTTGAATCCCTGAGAATAAAAAAAAGACCTTGTTGGAAATGTTGACCCTATATCGTGCGAATTCAAATTTAATCGAATCTTAATACAAATATCAATTACCGAGTGAGAAATATATATATATAAAAAACTAATGTTTGTCCTTTGTGTTGAATAATACAGCTGAGAATCTTGGGTTTACTTCATATCCACCAGCTTATCTCAGCAAGAAAGCCAAAGGCAAAAATCTTTTGATTGGAGCCAATTTTGCCTCAGGTTCATCTGGTTACTATGACACTACTTCTAGGCTATATGTAAGTAATAGTCCTTTTATTCTTAATCGGCGATCTCGAATTTAAATCGGCGATCTCGAATTTAAATTTTAAGAATTAAATGACTTTTAATTAAAGATTTTGGATTAAGGCTTTGAAAATAAACTTAATTTTGGTAGGAAGTGTTTTACTCCCCGAACGAATACCAGAAACTGAGAGACAAAACAAATTAAAAGAAAAAATACTCTCACTTCTCTATTTCAGTTTATGTGACAATATTTTCTTTTTAGTCAATTCCAAAAAAAAATAAAATAATCTAAATTTGGAAAGAATTGAACTTAAAATTTTCATTTTACCTTAATAAAGCTTTTGTAATCATACAAATGTTACGTAATGTTTTAGACCATAAGTTTCACATGTCTTATAACCATATAAACGTCGGTATAACATGTTTTAAATTTTAGTTTTTCTCAAAAGTTCTTTATTAAAAAAAAATTTAAAAAAATTATGTGTCTAGTTAAACCTATCACATATATTGACTAATATTTTAGTATGTATTTTTTCATCATATTGATATGCAAAAAATTGTAATTTATACTACTAATATTCGTATAGTTTTTGAATAACTAAATTTTTTATTTAAAATATCGAATTAATTTGACTAACATCTGTTTTTTTTTCTTTTTTCTTAGGATGCAATTCCTTTGAGCAAACAACTTGAATATTAC